TATTCCGAACCAGAAATTCTCATTTGTTCTTGTTCATGAAGAGGTAAAAAGACTGTTCATCTTCATCTTGATTTGTTATTATTTTCAGTTAACTTTTTACTATCTCATCATCATTATCATCCTCATCTCTCTCTCTCTCTTCATTCTCTCTGCTTATTCTGATTATGATCCCTGTGTGAATATAAAAGGTAGATACACAATTTATTATTCTACCATAGTAAACTCATTAGCAGCCATTTTCAGTTGAATTCCAATCCATTCTGTAAATCATTTCATGAGCCATATTGTATTAAACTGTTTCCAACTCTGATTTGGATCTTTACTTTTTATTTGTTTCATCATCATGAAACTGAAACTGAATCAAAAATGATTACTGAAGTTTTATGTTTCTCTCCCTCTTCTGTTGATATAATAATAGTTTTCCCAGTGTCTCCTTCACCTTGTAGGCCATATAATAAACGTTAATATTATTTCATTGAACTTTTTTCAACTTCATTGAGTAAAAGTTACTTTCTGTTCATTTCATCAAATTGAATTGTTCAATATCTCTTCATTTGTTTCCATGCTTTCCTATCATGATTGGAATCATTATTATCAATATTATCCTGAAACTTGTCACTTATCAGTCTCATTGATTTTCAACTTAATTCAATTTGATTGTTAATCTTAAAGTTATAACATTATTACAATTGCTCAAGTTTATCAATGATTCCAATCTAATATATACACAATGTACATCTAGACTAATAATAAAAACTAGTTTGTTAGTAATTAATTAATTGTTATGATTTCCATTTATGTATCATGGTAATCACCGAGTTGATTAACTTGAATTACTTATTAACAATGAAATGTAACCCATAGTGAAAGAAGGGATTTTCATCATCTTTATCGTTTTTTTTTCATCTTCTTGATAATCTGTTGTTATTTTAACCATTGTATTCACATTACCATTATATTAATTCATCTAACTGTAAAAACTGAATTCAAATCTGTGTAATTAATTGTAGCTGTTGACAAAATCAAATGAAACAAAGCGTAATGGTAACGTGAAACATTTTAACTTTTTGTGATTATCACACACAATTGATTCATAACTGTAACAGTCAGACTATTCAGCATCTTGATATCCCACTTCCTCCATCTCCGCCTCATCCTGCATCGTAATCATCATCATCATCATCTTCTTCTTCATCTTCAATGTCAATGTCTTAAAAAAAGACAAAAATAGTTAACTAGACTCAAATTTATCATCTTCTTTATTTCCTGTTTCCTTCCGTTGATGATGATGATAAAAACTGAATTGAATATTGTTTTTGAAATCTCTTGCTCCATGTTGAACCCATGGTGCTCAAGTTAATTGTTGTATTCAATGAGTTAGCATAATACTCACTTATCTTCTGAAAATGATGAGGATGATGAAAACCTCAGAGTAATTTAATAAGTGTATGAATGAAGAGGATTACCCAAGCCAATTTATGAGGCATTTACTAGAGAATCAACTAATTATCTCAGTTTTCTTGTGTTCATATTATCATGATAATAGTTGAATAGAAGAAGCAAAAAATGTAAACTTGATCCATGAATTTACTTTCCTTGGACAGTTTATCTCAATGAGATGAGCCAGTTATTAACTGTTAGTCTAGTAATTAATTCAGCAATTAAAATAATTCGCTCAAATAAATAATAACATTAATTTTTTCTCAATTCCCAATTGTAACTCTCTTACCTTGAAATGCTCAAAATTTTATTATTATGAGTTAACTATTCACCTTATCATCAACTCAAGTATGAAATGAGTTGCACTGAACTTATCAGTATGAGTTATCGTTATAAGGATAATAATGGTGATCATGATTCTGAATTGAATTGCAATTTACTGAATCTTTTTCTCCTTATTTTCCGTCAATATGAAACCTTAGAGATGCAATTGATTATCAACTAAATTGTTGACCGATTTAAACAGAGACCATTTTTAAAGTTTAATAGTTGATAATTTAACGATGACAATTTAGATAAACCAGTAAATCCCAACTCATCACCATTATCATTAAGATTATATCATGAGACTTAATCTACTTATTTCATCTGAATAAATGACTTCATTGATTTAAGATTAAGATGTTATGATTATAATGATTTGCATTCGGGTAAATCTTGTTGATAGTGATAATGATTATCATGACAATATTATTGAGATGAAAATCAATCATAAATGAATATCATGAATACATGAGAGTGGAAAATTTTCCCTCCATGAGTAAAGTGTGTAAATGGTTGAGGTGTATGAAAATTATCTGAATCAATTGCTGGCAATTTAGTTACATGATTGATGATTGTTTAAAAATTGACATTTAAACGATTAACCAGTTGATTGATGTTATCACTTATACTGACTAAATGAATTGTTAAATTGTTTTTCCACTGATAATGTTAAGCAATTAAATCCATTAGTTAAATGGTGATATCTTTAATTTTAAATGTCCAGGGTCGTTGGTACTTGATTGTTTGACAATTGTCAATCTATTAATAGTTAGTTAAATTTGTTTATTTTCGAGTCATTATCATAATCGTTTATTGTATCGCCATGAGTTTTATATGTATCAGATTAAATTGTTACTCGTTCCATTAACTATTTAGAAATGATTTGGGTTGATTGTTACAATTATCAAACAATAGAGCAAAAGAAACAATGAAAATTTACAATTCGAGGCTCTTAATGTTGATGTTTATCCAATAACAGCTTTCGCTTTACCATCAAACATTTAGATTGAGGTTTCCAATGGAAAACAATAACAGATTTGGAAGGTCAATGTTGACCTCTTATCTTATCGTGGGGTCGAAGGTGGAAATGTTTGGATAAAAAAGAAATCGATAGCAAGAGAAGTTCGATAATAATAATTTATTGGTTTACATGATAATTTATTCTGTTAACTCGAATAAATGTCAACTAAGGTGTAAGAAGATGATGATGAGGAGGAAAAGGAGGTGGGGTGGAAAGTGAAATGGATCAGGATGGAAGGTGGAAAAGGTTGTCACACTTTAAGTGAACAGTTCTAAGGTTAAGGTGGATTTTTATTTATCTTTCCATGAATTTCCCTGAAATTTGCTTCTTATACTAAATATCGCATTGAATTATTTAATCTGTTGGATCAATGGATTCGATATGATTTTTATTACTCTTATTCATGAGATTGTGATCATTTCAATCTGAAACTTTGATTTACTTTTCAATTGGAATGCAATACATGATAAAAATGAGTATATTCCTACTGAAACTTTCCTTTTCCGTTATCCATGATGGTGATTATCATGATTCTGAGGTTGATTTTAACTTTTTGTCCAGCAAACTATCAACAGTAAAAATGTAATAATAGTAAATATTAATCCTTCAACTACCTCCTACTAAGAAGTGAGTGTTGATATTGAAATGCCCTGGTAGCTTAAGTGTATATGAAATATCATGAAAACTTTTTGTAGATCTACATGTAAGTCATGAACATTCAGCTGAATAATAATATCATCAGAACTTGTCAACTGGCCCCTTTTTTATAATGTTGAGGTTAATGTTTTTTCAGGTTCATGGGTCAACTATTGGCCTGGAATTGGTAAGAATATGTTATCACGATGATGGAAATAATCTTGTAGGAAGATAGTGTGATGATGATGATGATCATCATCATCATGATTGAGACAGAATATGATTAAGAGGAAACAGTGATTCTCATGAGGATAAAATCGATATCTATCATTGGAGTTAGATGATTATTATTATAAACATTAGTTTTTGGTTGGTAAGGTCAATGATAATATTATCTTGAATGTGATTGGATAACATGAACAATTCTGAATTCAAATAACTATTACAATTCAGTGATATTACATGATGATGATAGTGGATGGAAAATTCAATCCTGAAGCAATCAAATCTTTCCTGAATCATCATCATTACATGATACATGATATGGAGTTTTTTTGAAGGTTATCATTTGATTGCTTCGAGTTATTAATTCACAGTCAATATTAATTGTTCATCTTTTCTCACTGATAATTTGCTTAGATGATTTTGCTTGTTATGGGATATTGTTAATCCATCAGATTAAATGATTGAGTATTTATGGTTTCATCGTCTTCGGCAACTTGACTTGGCTTTTTGGTTTCATTGTTTTCGATATTAAAAAAGGTTTCATCATCTTCATCACCATCTTTAGGTTTATCTTTATCTCTAATGCTTGTCTTAAATTCATTTCAATTGAGTAATCCAATTGATCCACTTGGACCATTAAGAATAAACTTGTTCTCTCTCACTCTTCATGGGGCTTTACTTTTACCCTGAAATTTTCATGCTGATCCATTTTTGCCTCTTCGCTTCATCTTCCTAAATATTTCCTCCTTCACTCTCACCACCTCCTCCCATTTGGAGCTAGAAAACATTAGATATCTTCCCTTTCTCCTCTTTCTCTTGTTTTTCATCATCATTATCATCATTAGTCTCTTACTTTTATCCTCTCTTTCATTTTCACTCTTCATCTTTTTCTTTGTTGAAACAAGATCTCATCTTGATCAATGTTCTCTCTCTCTCTCTCTCTCTCTCTGTCTATTTTTATTTGTTTTCTTTCTTCATCTTTTTCACCTCCTCATCCTTATCATCATCATTACGATGCGACTTGCATCACTTTAAGATAATAGCTCATCTTCATCAGCGGATTAACAACATTCACTTAGAGCAATCAAAGCAAAGAGAAATTTTAAATTACTTTAAAAAGAGAGAAAAAAATAAATGATGAAAAAGTAGAATACTAAATGATCTCATATTTTTACCTTAATCTCACCTTCTCCATCTTATCATCTCTTAATTTACCATCATCATCATTACTGTTTCGGACATGGAATCGTTTGCATCGCTCATTATCATCATCACCTTCACTTTGGCTTCAATTGTTTAACCAATAATAATGACCCTTCATGGTAATAACGATAATGATTGTTACATGAATCAGAGAAAGGAAGAGAAATGTTAAATAAAAGAAATGCGAGCTGCTCCCTCATTCCAAGTGACCAACAGAGTCAATGTAAAGAGTCTGGGGTAACAATAGCATCAGACACAATCTCATCTTCATCAACAACAACAATCCCATCAACTTATCTTCTTCCTCCTCTTCTTGCCTCTTCTTCATCCTTAGAACCTACAACAACTTCATCCACAACAACAACAACAATCTCATCCCGTCCAAATGGAAGTCAATTGACGGAAATTGGAAGAAATTTTCCTGAAAAAGTTTCCATGGTAACTCAAGTATCGACATCAACATTATCTCCATCATCAACCACCGATGATGATAAAATTCAACAAGAAACAACAACATGTTTTAATAACAGTAATAACGATAACATGACGGGTAACATTGAGAAGATCATTAATTGTAAAAGTGAGCAGATATCTGTCAATTTATTGTCTTCCAAAACATTTAACAAATTTACTCCTAATGTGTTTAACTTACGACCCACAATCTCAACTCATCCTACACGAAAGCATCATCATCATCATTCACATCTCTCTCCATCTTTAAGTCAACATAGAAGATCAGGTAATTCTCACTTTCTCACTTTTATCTCATCACATTTTTATCATCATGTTCATCTCTCTCTCTCACACTCACTTTCTCTTTGATGATTCTGTTTCTTTTCCTCTTGATTTACACCTTGTTTCCGGTCTTGATTATAATTTACTTGCCTTATCTTATAGTCAATCAACATCAATCAGGTTCATTATGATAATCAAATGATTGGTTGATCATCAACAATAATCAACCAATTACATTGAATGAACAAACTGATGCGAAAGTTTTTCATCCTCATCAAATGATAAAATTGTTGTTCTCGATATTTAACCTTTTCATCAATTTAATCATTTGTTTGTTAATGATGGAAACTTGTTCAGGGGGTTAATCATCATTATCTTGTCTTTATCACCATTAACCTCATCATCTTCATCTTCACTCTGTGAAAAACTCCTCTTTTTATCTTCTTCTTTCAAATAACTTATCTCATCAGTCATATTGTGATGATATTTAGCTCTCGCTCTGACTTTTAATAGGTTTGCCAAGTGAAGATGAAAAAAGATGAAGAGAGAGAGAGAGAGAGAGAGAGAGAGAGAGAGTAAGGAGGAGAAAATGACTTTTCCCACCTTTGGGCATTCCTTGGCGACCATTTTATCACTGAGAAAACGATTCAGAATAAGTTCTGAAATAGAAAAGGTTAAGTCATCAATCATCAATCTCTTGGCCTTTGTCATCTCTTCATCTTTATCTTCAATCTTTTGTCCATCTCTAGTGACTATTTCATCATCATTGATTCACATCATCAAAGTTTCAAATTTTCACCCAGCAAGAAATAATAACTGTTTATAAATTTATTGATTGTTGAACTGTAAGCAATTAAGATTAACGATCAGCTGGAAAACAATAATAATAATTTTTAGTAATTATAGTTATTACTCCAATTGTAATTTTAATTATCTCTCTTAATTGTTTCACTTGTTATTAGCATCATCAAATTACTTTATCCTGTTGTTGTGATAATACTCATTGATTTAATTATCTCGTTAAGTCTTAATCACAATCCAACTCTTGGGTTAATAAACCAATTCAAATTCAAACCAACAATTAGCTCTACACACCAATCATCGTATCAAGTTAATCGTTTTCATCAGAGAGAAAACAAAAAAAAAGTCAAATATCAATCTTAATCCTGAGACGATTAAGCTGTTAGTTTGTATTGATTCAGCTCAATGTTTTTGAGAAAAATAGTTCTGAATATTCAACAAATGAACCATTTAGATACATGATTATCTTCACTCCCGTGGTATGAAATATTTTCATGGAAAGTGAAAAAGATTATTATAATTATCATGATAACTTTTGAATAAATTAGATGATGATCATTAAATGAATCAGGATGAAAAAAGATTCAGCTGATAAGATAAACTAATTTCAATTGCAAATGATGTTCAGTTTTTTTCTCATCATGAAGACATTAAATGCTTATCTGAATACGATGGTGATTTTTTTACTCCTTCTCCATGAAAATTATCATCATTTCAATTCTTATCAAGAACTTTTTTCCTCCTGAACCTTAAATAGCAACAGATATTGATTATCAGGTCCATTCACTATAATCAACATCATTTTAATTGTTATAACCCTTCAAGCTGTTGACATGATAATGTTGATCCATTTTAAAAACCAATTCAACTACTCTGAACATGGATATCCAGTTTATATCCTCTTTTATATCATGACTTAGATTTAAATTGATTTCACCCACTGAGGCTTTAAAAGCTCATGAAATTTATCATGGGAATTGAATGTTAGTTTGTATTTTTAAGTGATAGCCATTCAATTGTGTGTTAGTATCAATAGTTTCATTGGTTAGAGTCCAGTCCTGAATTTGATGATCAGTTCATGATGATTATGAAAGGCTAAACAAATAGATACAAAGTTTAGCTTCAATTCTGATGAACTTAATTCAGGGAATAGATGAATCAGGAGAAAGAGAAAAACAAAGAAATAGGATGAATCTTATTAAGATGCTGATCATCCCTTTCGATTTTTTTCATCTTCATCTTCATCTTATTCTCCCTCCCTCTCTCTCTCTCTCTTTCTTTCTTTCTTTCCGGTTCTTCGATTCTTTCGAAGTCACTTTCTTTTTTATCTTCGTTCCATCATCATCTCATTCTCATCTTCTTTTTCTACTTTTTTTCTTCTCTTTTCATCTTCATCTTCCTATTCTCTAATTTGATGTTGATCAATTCCCAACAGAACTGAGAAGATTCAACCAGAACAAAGGAAATGATGATTCGGAAGGAGAGGGAACAACCAATTGTTATACTTCATCAAGTGAACACTCAATGGATACCGTAATTTTTTGTGGTAAATCCATGAGATCTTCATGTAATGCTAATAATCAACAACATCATCATCAAGTTCATCATAGCATTCCAAGTTCACCGAAGAGCTCACCATCACCAGGGAAACCCAAAGTGCCGACTACAACCAATGGTTTACCAAAAACACCAATGTGCCAACCAATGATGATGGTAATCGCTAAATCGTCAAATTGTTCAAATATGACACAACAACAGTCACCTAAACGCTATTCATCATCATCGTCAAACACAACCTCATCTTCACCATTAATTAATCAATTGTCGATTGATCCAACAATCAATCACTCATCCGATAAAAAGATCAACGTTAAAAAACTGGTATGTGACATTGGAACTTCACCTTTACATAAGAATAGCCTTAATTGTAAAACAAAGTGTAATCGAAATGATGAACTTTGGGTCGATAAGCCGAAAAAATCGAAACGAAAAAAGCCTCCTCATCGAATCTCCGGTGTCGAATTGTGGGTTGATGGTCCAAACGCAATACCGATTAATTCAAATATCACAAGTGAATCAACTAATTGTGAGTTTACAGAGAAACATCAACGAACAACTGAATGGATTAACCAACATGCGAAAACAATTTTAATCGCAAGCAATAAAGGTAATTCATGTTGTGGTCAACACTGGACATCATCAAATAATTGTGGTAAATCAATTAACGAAAATACAAACATCACTAATCCAGTGACGACCTCGAAATCATCTAAATCTAATTCATCTAATGGTGCCAACGGAACGATAATTGATCTGAGTAATCCAGCTTCTCCTTATCATGTTGGTGTATCTGAGCTAACAATTAAGGAGAAGCATTTGATTGATAAACTAATTGAAACCAAAGAGATGGCTTGTCAAACAGAATCAAATGAGAAACTAATTGTTTCAGAAAGTATGAACTGTACAAACAACAGTAATACCAATGAGAAGCTCAATACAGAGGAAACTTTGATTCTATTGAGTAATCTTCATGATAATCATGAGGGTGATTATGAAGATGATGCAGTTGATGATAATGATTGGACTGATGAGAGACGATTAATGTTACTAGAAAGAGGAGCTCTTTCTGATTGCTGTGATAATCGTATTTGTTGTTGCTGTTCAAGTTCATTTACATCGGAAGATGATGAAAATGTTGCTGTTGATGATCATGTTCAGGGAGACGATAAAATGATCGATAAAGATAAACAAACAATTGAATTGAAAAGTATTAAAGATGATATTGGATCAACGAAGGAAAATAATTTAGATTCTAATACAGAACTTATTCCGAATAAGTTGAGCACTTCCAATCAATTAACTGAACCTCCTGGACAATTAAAGTTGGAACAGTTTCTCAAACAACTAATTACTGTTACTAACCCATCGCTCAATGATAATGAGAATATGGAAAAGATTAAGAAAGATAAAGATAAAAATCATCATCATCGTCATCGATCACATCATGGTCATCATGGTTATCATCATCATCAACATCATCATCATGCAGGAGAAAGGAAATTGTCCCAACCCATTAATCATTACAATGATTATCCACAATATGATTCATTGCCACCGAGAAGATTAACTCGATCAAAATTCAATGGAACTAAATATTACGACTCCTTTGGATCACATCAAGATTTGACTAATTGTTCAGTGGACGACAATCAAATTAACAGATTAAAATCGACACTTGATGATGCTAATTGTAAATCGGTTGGTTATATAATCACGAAGGACTTGCCAATCAATGATGATTGTAGTAAAAATCATGTCACTTTGTTACCAACCTCGCCGCGGATCAATCGGATTCTTGGTAAGTATTAATTGATTAAGCAAATTACTTGATGTCATTAGTTGATTAACATTAATTTTAATTGTTAAAGGAGGAGTTCAAACTAAAGTTGAATGTATCAATATAACAAATAGTCCAACTAAATCATCGCGAAAGCAAAGTTGCAATAAACGAGATACAACATCGACAACTACGAGTGGACATGGGACAACAAGTGAAGGCGATGATCGGTCAGTTGTTACGAAGAAATCATCTGATTCCTCATCAAGTCCGTCACAATCTCACGATCGAACCTTTAACTCGTCCTCATCTTCAGCCTCACAATATCATCACCATCATCATTATCATCGGTCTGGTCAAAATTCCAGCGGTGGACCTTCTTCCAGTGGATATGATAGTACAATTAAAGATGAAGAAAGTGACCGAGAATTGGTCATAATCGATAATGATGATCAATCAAATGAAATTAATGGCAAAAAATTGATGATCACCGATGAAGATAATACCTGTAATGTAGTGACTCTCACTGCTAATAACAATGAAAGTGCTAATAATAGTAATGATATTAGTAACAATGGTAATAACAATAACAGTAATCATACTAATCTACAGGGTAGTTGCAATATCGTTAAAAGTTCAGTGAAAATGAGAGATAAATCTGAGAAACAAAATCGTAAGAATAAAAAAGACAAAGAAAAAGATAAACGTGAATCGTTAACATCAGAGAAATGCTCATTTCTTTGCTGTAAATTAACTTCCTTTTACTAATTAACAACAATTAAAATTATCTATTTGCCAAAGAAAAGTCACCAAATTGAAACGGTTGATTATTATTATTAACAAATTGCAACTAAAATCATAAGAATCAAAATTTGACATTAAAGTAAAACAATTTTTTATTCATGACAATTTGAAAGAATCACTTTTGTACATTTAATGTAATTAAATTATCAGAATTTTAATAAAATCAGAACTGTCTTTTTGTTGTATTTTTTATATTTCCGCTTCATTTTGTGATCACCTGAAGGTTAATCAATTGATTGTCACGAATATTTTATCATTGATGAGCTGAGGAAATGTTGTTATGGTAAGACAGCATTCAATTAACACTCTGTCCTTCAATCAAATTAATCATTTCGTTCATAAATGTCATTAATGATTAGACAATTTTGCTTGTTGATTATCATCAAAGAGCCAAGAGGTCGATTCTTGTAATCGTTGGACTTTAAATTGTTTCGAGTCTTGAAAAGTAATCCCGATTCCCTGTCTATTTAATCTTGGGACTGAATTGTGATTAAGTTAATTGTCTCAAATACCTGTTAATTAGAAGGTCTATCAAAGTGAAACATTTCTATGGACTTTTATTATTTCAAATTCACCAATCGATTTGAAATCGAAAGTTTCAAAAAATTTCTTTTAAAATTCTAAAAATATACTTTGATATAGAATCGCATGACTATATGCTCCTATTATTAATCATTGTCGCGGTTTATTAGATTATATGTTTAATTTTTATTTTGTTTGTAGAAATTTCTTAATTGTGATCAATTTATCAAGAAAATTTACCGTGGATTAGTGACATCTATTGGCTGATTAACTATTCACTGCGAAGACCGAGTTTGTACCCAGACTGTACTGCTCTCTATTGCCATAGGAAAACATTAAATACACAAATAATTCAAATAACTTATGATTCAATGATTGAATTTCAATCAGCCGATTCTGATGTTTCGATGATTTGTTTATCGTGGCTGAAGGTTAGGGAATTTGGAAAAATTTGAATATTTAGACTATGAAGTAAATACTGAAGCGGTAATTTTATTGCTGTTGGAAACAATTTACAGTTTGATGAGTGTTAATTCAAACCAATTGTCATGTTAATTAACTGGGTAATTTAAAGGTCGACACATGCACTCGAAAGGACTGAAGCAGTTTGAGCGGCTGGTTCCTTCCAGAAAGTGTAGACACATTCCTCTTTGAAAGCCTATGGAAATATTATTAATAATTAAGGAGAGAGAAGAAGTACAATTAGTGATTAGATTAACGAACAATCAATGATACAATCAACTGATTGATAAACTATTAGCTATGAACTTAGTACTTACATTTGCAGGGATTTCACAAAGTTTAGCACCAGCATCGGCTTTAGCACAATGAGTTTCACCAAAGACGACGGTGACTTCAGTTTTGATTCCTCGGACAACTTGTTGTTTGGCTGATTTAACCTCGACGACACCTCGGTAGTAAAGTCCATCGATTTCACCGTTATGATGTTCGACGGCTAAATTGACCAATTCAGTAACAGCCGCGCTATTGGATTCAACGTTTTTCCAGCCACCAGGAAATCCGAAGGCAGCGGATGAAACACCAACTAAACAGAGAGCAACAATAAACTTGAACATTTTGATTTAGTTTTGATTTTCGATTGACTTTTTCTCGAAAGGTAAATAACTGAATTAAATTGTTACAATTAAAATTTTTCCTTTATATATATTATCCCAACTTGATCCTTGCTCAGGTAATTAATCTGTAACAATTAATTTGATTGAACAATTGATTTGTCAACCACCCATTGTTTCATATCTCAACTTTTTCTTCATTTTAATTGTTAATTGTCTTCATCTATGTTAACTGATAATCACAATTATGATAATTATTATTACACAATGAAAACTAGATTTAATTTTATTCAATTAATCAAATCAATGATCAACCTTTAATCCGGTTTCAAGGACTAATCGATTGGTACAATTTACGATCAAGTTTAAAAAAGTATTAATAGTTAAATCAATTAACTTTTCGATCTCGAAAAAGTCTCAACAATTAGTTGATCATTTCTTTTCGTGAAGGTAATCAATTTCTTAATCATCATATAAATCTATCGTTATTATTAATTAATCGCTGAATCAGATTAATTGTAAACAATTAGTGTCATGTTATTGTGACAATTGTGTTAATTGTGTTAATTGTTTTTGAAAATTTCTATGGTCTAAATCATGTGAAACTTTATTATGTTTTGTAGTAGATCCAATTTCCAACTAATCGTAAATTCATTTTAATTATGATTAGTTAAATTGGTTTGTGATTAATTGTCATGATAATTTAATTGTGAGAAAGATTAGATTACAAATAAATTTAATCAGCACGAAAATCATCATGAAATATTATTTGATTGCCTTTGATTGTTGACAGCAACTCCATTTAATTAGCTCTAATTTAGACATCATCTTGATTGTCAACAATCAACTGATTAACGAAAAATTTTCCAGGTTAATTATCACCAATTTCTTACAATCACGATTAAAATCATTTGAATGATCAATTAATTTTCACTAATATTAACGTGATTATCTTTCAACAGTTTTTCCGTTAACAATCATGTTATTGTTACCCTCAAGTGGATTTAATTGATTATCAACGCAATTAAGGGTTAATGGATTCTGATTATCTATAAATACTTAATTGTAATGATTAAAATTAGAGGTCCAATGAATCTGATTTAGTTTCCATTGCAAGAATTTTGATTAAATTAATTCTAATTACAAGTTAGACTTAGAGTGACATCTTTTGACAGCTAAATATTAATAATTGAAACTTTAATTGCCATTCAATCAACAACAATTAAATTATTAGAGGATTTGAACGCAATCAATCAATAAATCTAGTCGTTAATTAGCAATTAATTGTGGAGACAAATACATTTCCATAAGCACATGGTCTTGGTTTTACTGAGAGCAATGATCAACAACAATTAAAAGTCTCTGATCTTAATCATTGATTAATGTCTTGATTTCTGCAATCAGATTTTTATTACAGTTTTAATTGTTAAATCAGATGCTAAATCATCTTGATCAGATTACAGATTAGGTTTAATGTTTATTATTATGATCGTAATTTGACTCGAACTGAATCAAAGTTATTAACAATCAGGATGTTTACTTAATGTTTATCATTGAATTTCTGATCAACAACAATTAATCTAATTGTGTTTTTAGACTTTTACATTCATAGTAACAATCAAATGAATATTAATCAATGAGATTAAAGCTCCCATCTAATCCAATACTAATAATTATTATCTTTTAGTTATTAGATTTGATTGTAATTACTTGAACAATTAATGATTACAAATTGTTGATAATTAATTGGGTTTCAGACAATCAAGTGAAGTTTGAAATTAGTAGGCACCTTTAATAATAAAATAGTTAATTAGATTGGATACAAGATTGTAAATCGATTCGATGATCAGATTAGGCGGTTGGTTTACACGAGTGTCGGGTAACTTGGCCTTCGTCAGCTCCAGGTCGGAAGTAGAAGACGTAAGTACATTCCTCTGGTACTTTCTGTTAACAATTAAGAGTTGAAAGCTGATTAGAATACGTAAATTGTTTGGAAGGAAACAAAGAAATTAGATTGACACTTACATTTGCTGAGACTTCACAATTAGCTGAATTAGCGTCGGATTTTGGACATTCAGTGACTCCGATATCGAAGATGACTTCGTAGTTGACTCCAGCGACGACCTGAGATTTGATGCTTTTAACAGTTACAAGTTTCTTGTAGAAAAGATTGTTGGAAACTTTGTTGTGATGAGCGACCGCTTTTGAGGCCAATTCATTGGCTTTCGGGTCGTCGAGTGACATGGAGCTCCATCCACCAGGCATGGCCATTGTGACACCAACAAGAGCGAGGATGATAACGATTTTCATTTTTAATCAAGTTTATTTAACAATTAGGAATGTAATTAACTGTTCAAATTGCTGATGAAGACTAAATTGATTGTTGATCACTGTTAACATACAATATTTAAAGGATTTGCTCATGACTGTCAACATTGCCAACCAGCAGCACCATCTTCAGGATAATTAATTTGATTGTTTCTCATCGCGATAATCAATTATTACTTGTAATTGTGTTTTGTTGTTTACAATTAACCGAGGGAAAATACCCAGATAATCAACACAGAGAATTTATTAATATAAATAAATAGATAGTTAATTGATTGTTTCACTCGATTATATCAACGTTCGTGGAAATCGTGATTGTCTCCATGAGGTAATCATCAAATAATTGTATTTTATTATAATAAGTTGATCAAAATAATCAGTCTAACGTAGGAGTTCAAATAACAATTAGCAAATTGCATCGAAATCAAATAACTGGATCACAATTAGGGAAAAACTTTGCAACAAAATTAAGATAACGGTTTCTGGTTGGTCCGATTCAATTGTAGATGATGCTTGTTATTGTATTAATTTACCGAGATAAACAGATTCGTTTAATCAATAATTAAGATTAAAATGAGATTTAGGAAATGGATTCAATTATTTATTTGCTTGACCAATACAATGATCTTCAATTGAGACAAAAAAAGTGATTATGACTTGTCGATTCACGTTCTGGTCATTTGTGGCATACTCGCTTTGGACCAACAAGGTAACTGTTCAGTTCTGTAATAAATGAACAATTGAAAGGAGTTAATTAATAACTAAAACGATTCGAAAAGGTAAATAGATCAGATTATGACGAGACTTACATTGTTAATCGTTAATTTGGTGCTGGATTAAGGTCAGATTTTGGACATTCGGCAATACCAATGGAGATTAATCTGAATCTGACTCTTTAGTGACAACTTGGACCTTGGCACTTTTCAGGGTAACAAGTTTGTTGTAGAAAAGATTATCGGAAATCATAATTATAATGGTCAACTGGTTTTACAATCAACTCGATGATTTAAAGACCAACGAGTGCCATTGGTAACACCAACAGATACAAAAATAACAATCAATCTAATCTAAATGATTTAATTTGTTTCTCTCCCAAACTAATCAGCTGATCAACAAAGTTGTTAAAGTTCAATTGCAATGAGCATGTTACATGAAAATCATGTTGCCCATGTCATCCAAATGATTGATTAATCTGATTACCAAAATAACAACCAAATCAGGATATGAACCAGATGAGCTCGAGCAAATATCCTGTTATTATTTTAATTGTTCAGGTAAATTATTAGTTTGATTTATAGTTTTCTTAATTCTCAATTAATTGATTCTAAACTCATCAAATGTTATATGTTATTTTTTTGTTCTCATTTCTAAGATTATCATTTAGATTAAGGATAATCGGAAGGTTATGATCATTTTGATGATAATAATCAGCTTATTAAAAAGGTGAAACCTAATTTATCAATAATATGAAATGTTGATATTCAGCTAGGAGACTGTGTGAGCTTCCGGCTCAATTTTAATCACAAATGGACCTTCAGGTTGATTACAACTCGGAGCCTCAGCGGAAGCGGTTGATTCTTCAGGAGTTCTTGATACTTCAGTCGTTTCGTGTTCATGTTCATGATGTTTGTGCTTATGGTGAAATGGTTGCAATGAGAATCGTCTATGAGTACCTTTACGACCTCCTCGTCGTTTCGATATGTGCGGATTATCTTTTCGCATGGTTTTATTGCGTAGAATCTGTAATTGGGTATAAACTCGGCGAAGTTCAGACTTTACCAGAGAGAAAGAGAAAGAATAAAAAATTTTCGTTAGCTCAAATTTGTCTCGAATTGATTTTCAATCAAGATTCTTACCCTGATATCTTCTGGGTCCATGTCAGCCAAATTAATATCACCGATATCAACCTCACCATTACTCAGTATTGCTGCATGAAGTTTCATTACTTTAGAGACTCTATCACGTCCCTCGGCGGTAGAAAAATAACGAGATCGATTTCGATAGCTGGCCAAAGGACGGTTATGGAACCATATCTGTAACAATGGAATCGAAAAAGAAAAAAAAGTTCCAATAGTCAAAGAAAATCGAGCAAAAATGACCATGTGATCTTACCTTTGGTCCAAGAAGAATGGCAAGTATTAAGGTTACTGTAAGTTGACATCTAATTGCATGAAGAAGCAAAAGATAATCTGGATGAATTTTTCCCCATGCAATATGCCTGAGAATGTGAGTTATCGTTGAAACAATTATTTCTATGTAAATAGAGCAACACAGTGAACACTTTTCACCATAAACTTCTGGCTTTGCATTTCGAATGCAATAAGTAATATAGACACCAGTTAATAGAAATGAAAATTCCCCTGAAAAGATTCCAAGCAAATAATTAGGACATTAGAATAAATCGAAAGCAATGAAATCGTTTTTTTATTGCAAAATAAATTCATCAAAGAGATTCACCAATTAACAGTTCATGAATCAGCTATTGTAATAAATTGATCAATTCATTGTTATAGCTAATTGAATTCAATGAATGAACCTGGAATTCACCATGAAAATTAAATAGTTGATTTTGTCTGAAGAAAAGGGTGTGGGAATTGATAGAAAGGTTGAGATAAATAGATGAGGATGGAAACAAAAGTGCAATACAAGAGAAATTGTGTCAAAATTGTGACACTTTGTTTCCAAAAAAAGAAGTAGAAAGTTGAGTCGATACTAATGAGTTTCAGATCGATATACAGATTTTCAGAATTTCCCTGAATAAGTGATAGAATATATAAAAAAATAACTTCTCCACCCTCAGAATCCATTCAACTACATGTAATAATAGCATGAAGATATTATCACATTATAAAAACCAACACTCATCTTATGTGTCCCGGTGTAACTGTATTACTTTTTACCTGTGATAATATCATATTAATAATGCAGAGTTCCAACTTTTTTCAAGCTAATAAATTCAATAAATTAATGAACTCGGTGAAAATGTTTAAGCTTTTTTTCAACCTGTTAACAAGACTTGGAACCTGAATAGAAGGAGAAAAGCAAAGGAAATCCCCATAAGGGTTATTAATGATTTCTAGATGGTAACTGTAAATTCATAAAACCATGATGAAAGTCATCATGATAATCATAATTTAATATGAGAGTTGATAGCTTTTCCCTTCTAATTTCAATGTTAACTGTAAATACTTAGATAACACTCAGTGAAAATGATAATAACCAACTTGATAGGGAGTTAATATTATCATCATGATAATATTTTTCTAGCCAATTTTTTTTATTCCTTCTCAATACTTGGAACTTTTTTTTACTTCTTCATATCTTTCAGTTCAACCAACAAGATTAAGTTTTGGGTTTACATATATCATTCACTTTGCTTTTTCAACCTTATATCTACATGATGATAAGCTCAGAATGTTTCAGAATAATGAGAGTAATAATAATATCGAATATGTCTCAACTTTCTTCTGGGAGTTTCTGCATCTCCCTTGTACTCTCAGTCTTCTGTCGTTCACTTTTACTCTATCATTTTCTCATCCTTGAAAAAAGCGAATAAGAATAATAATAAGGATGAGAGAGGGAGAGAGAAGATGATGATGATGGGAATGATGGCTGAATAAGAGTGTGTGTATATATGAATGAGCATGAGAGCATCATGAAAATGAAACAACAACAACATCTTGAAGCTTATCCAGGTCATAGGAATATGTAGTTATCATGGATGAAATATTATTCACAGGGAGTGAAAATGTGAACATGAAGAGAGACTTTTCTTGAGTTTTGACTCTCTCTGTCATTATTATCTCAAGGAAATAGAAAGAGAGAGAGAGAGAGAGATGGAGAGATGGAATATGAAAACGATGATATTCATGAAGATGACATGATGATCCATTATCTACGCAGAATCGACTCATTGCTTTTCAATTAATCATGTGAACCATTTTTTTGCATTTTCAACGTTCATCAAATATTTACCCTGAGCTTAATTAACTTGCATAATAAACACTCACCGAGAAAATATTTCTCCACCTTAATCTTAATAATGCGAAAACAATTGATTGAAAATACAGGAAGAAATAAAATAAAACATGAATCAACATTTCTCTGCGGTTTTGTCAACAAATTCATCAACAATTCAATCTCAGAAATTCAGTAGAAATCAGCCATTCGCTACTCTATCAATAAAATGAGGTACAAATGACAATCAATTTACTTTTACAGGTACAAACATCGATACAATCAATTTATTCACAGGTAAAAAAGTTCATTTGAGAAAAGAACAAAAAAAAGCACAAATTGCATGGTGATCATTTCATCGGAATCCATGAACATGAACAAAAATACCATCGTTTTCCCCTGTTCTCAGAATTTCAATTGAGTATATTGTTGAAATGTAAAAATAATTCAACTTGTTAACAATTCCTGTGTAAACTAATAAAGTGTAACATTTACATTGTAAAGTGAATGCATGAAAACTGATGAAGTGAAAAGTTAATTCAATATAAAAAGAGGTTCCTTTATGCAAGATGTAATATATTTTTCCACCCATAATCATTTACCATGTGAGTTGGAACAGAAAAGTTCTGGAGAGTAAAAAACTTGGAAAACTTTATTCACTCAGCTAATAGTTAATAGTTGACTCACTTATTACCATGATTATGATACCAACTCCATGGATAATCAATCATTTCAGTTAAATCATTAGCCTCCGTTATTTGGTTAACTGAAAAAAAGTTTTCAACTTTTCTTTGTTACCATTACAAATTTCATCAAATTAATCTGATTGCCTATCAATGGACCTGATTACTACTGAATTATGGTGATTTACAAGGAATCATCATGCAAATGATTTATTGGTGAAACTGTTTAGTCAGATGATCATTTTGTTTACCTGGTGAGTGATTTGGGTTACAATTAGGATACAGTTTCCATCATGAATCTGTAAATTGCTCAAATGCTGTGAGTTAATTGTTACAATTTGCATTTATTGATTTTACATCGTTATTTTTAGTTACATTTTTTATTGTCTTCAAGTGATTTACAATTTATTGTTCATTAGTTTCCTCATGAATAGTATTCACAGCATGATACTTGACTATCTTTTCCCTATGAAAACTAAACTATTCTGATTCAATGATAATATCACCATGCGATCTCACTCCCTGGTGTTTCAAATTATATTAACGTTAAAACATCATATCATTCATATGAAGCATGAGAATGAGAAATTGATTAATGTCGATAGCATGAGAGAAACAATTAAAATAACTAAACAATCAATCTAAATATGATTAATTTACTATGGAACTCGAGGAGATGCTGATTCGATGGAAAATCGAAAATGAAAATATTCTCTCTCTCTCTTTAATTACTTGGTGATTGATGTTCAATATAAACCTTGAATCTTTAAGGAAGATAAACAGTCTTGATGATGAGAAGATTAATCGATTCAGTTGATTGCTAATTATTCATGATATTGAGAAAAATATAACAAGGGAAATAAAAGAATGGGAAACAAAAAGATTGAGCTGAAATTCGGGAAACCAGAAAATTGAGATAACATGAGAATTGAATTGTCAGAATGTTGGAACAGAATACTTAAAGAGAAAAAGAATAGAATTGTAAATTTTTTGTTCCATTTAACGAGACAAAGGTGACGATTCTAACAAGAATGTGAACTTAGTAAACATCTTCGAAGTCATCGTCACATCAAGTGAATTAATTCACAAGATTCAGAACGAAGAAAAAGAATCGAAAACAAATTGATAAAAACAGAAGAGAAAAAATCAAAAATCAGTAGAAACTGTTTATTCTTGACTGGTTTTAATGGAACAGGGTAAAGATACAATTCCAAGAGTGAATGATGATTCTGATTAATCTCCCAGCACTTAGATAAAAATAGTAAACCGATAACCTTGATGGCATATAAATAAATATCTACAGGGAGTTTGTTCATATTGTTGTCGTTATTATTTATGCAACAACGGGAACAATAAGTTGGAAATGGTTCTGGACAAAATTTGGGATAAAGATTTCATTTGAAATGGTCTTGATATAATTCACTGGGAGATTTAGTTTTCAACAGAAGTAAAATAGTTTTCGATTGGATGAAAATGGTTCCAGAAAACTGATTCCTTCCCTTAGAATTCAGTTCATCAGGAGAAAAGTCCAGTTGATGGACTTTATCGTTTCCATCTTAATCTTATGCTTGTTTTCAAGGTTCAGTGTTCATCAAAAGTGTAAACAAAGATGAGGATTAAGTTGGGTTTTCATGGATCTCGACAAAAATGATATTTGTCTTGATTTGTCCCTCAGAATTTGAACCAATTTCTTGAGCTTGAGTTTACATGATGAATAATTATAGATTATCATCCAGATTACATTCTCTCCATGATTGATGATATCTTTCTCGTTTCAGGTAATTCTGAAAAAGACTAAATTGACCCCGAATGACCTTTCGAAATCCTCTTCTCACTTTTCTATCCTTAGATTGTAGTTCTTTTCACCATGAAATTGTATCTCTTTTTTTTCGCTCAACTGTTTCAGACATGAACAGATGAAACTATCTCAAAGGACATCATTATATTTTCATCAACCATGAGATTGAAAATGCTTATTAATGTCGCCAGGTAATCAGATAAGGATTCAAGTCTTTGTACTGAATGAGCTTAAAGTCTAAAAATAAAGTTCAGAACTTTTTCCAAGTGATTATAATATATAACGTCATCAAATATTGATGATTACTGACATTTTTTCCAGTCAAATATTTCAAATGCTTCACTTTTTCAAGGTAGATTATTGATATTCCAATAAATTCATGGTAATAATAATCAAAACATTTTACCATCAATTTCTTGAGTAAAAAAAATACAGATAATTATTGAAATTTCCTGTTTAATATAAGCAATTTAACTTTAGAAATACCAATAACCCAAAAGGAAGATGAAAAAACAACTTCTAATGATGGAAAGAGTTGAAATATTCATTTTATCACTTTTACCTTGCAGGGATTTTTGTTCAACCCACTTTTCATTCAACAAACTCCACAAGATAATCACCATGATCATGATCAACATCATTATCATCAACTGAAAACTCATCATCCGATTACACAAAAAAATAAGCATCGAAAAGGTTTTGTTAATGAACTTCCATCTTCCTCCTCTTCTCGTTTCACATTCATTTCCAGGGTAATTTCAATTTTTATATCAAACTGAATTTCCATTGAAATGTTTCCAATAAACTTGCTTGATTTCTCTCCTTTTGTTCCAGGATGCAAATCATTTCAACAGCTGATTAGCTGTTAAATTTTCTGAACGATACATTTACTCATCAGCTTAACTTATCAGTTTCAAACATC